CACACACACACACACACACACACACACACACACACACACACACACACACACACACACACACACACACACACACGTGATCAGTCACTCACTGAGTTTGTCTTTGCAGCATCTGGAGTGGACTCAGTTGGCGAGGTGGTCATGGTCGTGGATATCTTACCCCAACCTAATGGAGAACACAAGATCAATGTCAAAGGTACAGAACAGAACAGACTTCATCAGGGTCCTGTGTTCTAAGACCTGTCAGCTATTTATCTCTATCTGTGTCCTACCTTCCCTTTGTGCCTGACTTGACGTGCCTTTGTTTTCCAGTGGTGGCTGCAAATGACCTGAAGTGGAGGGCGCAGGGCTTCAGGCCTTTTGTGGAAGTTTATATCATCGGCCCTCACCTCAGTGACAAGAAGAGGAAATTTGCCACCAAGTCCAAGAACAACAGCTGGTCTCCAAAGTTCAGCGAGAGCTTCCAGTAGTGAGTATCAACTCTACCCGCTTCACTTCTGTTGTCTTGGGTTTGGTTTGGTTTGGACCAGATGATCCAGATCTACCAGTTTTTATTTGTGTTGTTTCTGGGTTATCTGTCCGTCCCATTCTTGTGAACGCAATATCTCAAGAATACTTTGATGGAACGTCTTCAAATTTGGTGCAGGCATTCACTTGGACTCAAGTATGAACTAATTAGATTTTGTTGGTCAGATGTCAATGGGAAACAATCAACATTCACTCTTGGGTCAAATGACTCTCGGATTTAAGATGAGAGAGCGCCTCACAAAAATCAAACAAACTCCTTCTGACAATGGGAAAGAAGTCAATCTCATTTTTAGCAGATTTACCTGCATTTTGAAGAACCCACTTATATTTTTGGTGAAAAACATTTGGACTTGATTCGATTTCAAAGGCTACAGTTACCTCATACGAGTCTGGAAATAAAATGTGTGTCATCTGAAACTGCAGTGGTTTCACAGACATACGACCACAGGGCGGTGATTCTATTTTGTCTTGTTTCAGCTCCCTCGGCACTGAGGTGGGTCCAGAGAGCTACGAGCTACAAGTGTGCGTGAAGGACTACTGCTTCGCCAGAGAGGACCGCACCGTGGGAATGGCCTTGCTGCAGGTGAAGGAAATAGCCAACAAGAGCAGCGTCACCTGCTGGCTGCCGCTGGGAAGACGTGTCCACATGGACGAGACGGGCCTGACGGTGCTGCGCATCCTCTCTCAGCGCAACAACGATGACGTGGCAAAGGAGTTCGTGAAGCTCAAGTCGGACCAGCGCTCGGCTGAGGAGGGCCGCAGCTGAGGGAGGAAGAGGAGAGAGAGAGCGAGGACACACATGTGCACCAAAACACCAGAGACCTGTTCGACAAAGTATTATGCACACATGTCGTAGTCACACCCACATAGACTGGCAACCATGTGCAATACACAAGCACACACATGAAAACGCTCTATTGTACATATATCTGCATACATTATGCAACATTTACATAGCAATGGTATCAATGTAAACACGTAGGAATAGGTTTTTAAAAAATCCAATTTAATTTTCAATATTTCAACAGCTCCACTCAAACCTCTCAGTTTAACATTAGCGTAACATTAGCATCACATTAGCACTTGTCACTCACTCTTTCCTACAACACATCACACCTTTTTTATACACTGTAAATTTCAATGTGATATAACACAACGCAGATCAACGACCATGTGAATAGTTTGAGAGAGACCACTTTGCACTTTGCTTCTGTGTCTTCAGGAGGTCGGTCCTTGCCCTGCTACGATCTGTCCGTCTGCTTGCCTGCCTGACTGTGTTGCCCCCCCCCCCCCATTGTTTCATCTGCTTAGTCTTCTCACGGTGTAATGACGTGATGTGTGAGGTGGAGATCAGGCACAGATCTAAGATCACAAAACCCAAACAGAGGAAACACTGACCTTAGATCAGTGTCCGAGGGCAACATCTCTATCTACGTCTGTCCTGTAATGTAAAGTCCTGCATGTTGACTCCAGGACACTGTGATTCCCTCTGCTGTAACCATGGCAACCACTCCCCTCCCACATGAAAAAATGGACGCCTCCAATATTTGACCTGTGCGAGCATGGTGCATAAAACCCTGATACCGAAAGGTTTTTATAGATCAGACCTGACGAGACTTTATGATCCTGGAGAAAACACCACCAGTGGAACGATGACGAGCCTCACGTGTGATGTTTCCATAAAAGCAAAGGTTTTGGCCACAATGTGCTTTTTTTTTTTAAAGAAAAAAAAACTCTACTTGCTTTACATCACGACAAACGGAGCAATACCCCAGCGTCGAACACATCCACACCCCTGGAGTGCACGTGAACTCCAGGAAGGGCTACGGGATCAGTGGACTGGGAGGTCACTTCACGCACCGAGGTCAGTGCTTCTGTTGGCAGACGTCCGCTCGGCCACAGACACACTGCACACAGTCTTTCATGAGTGACACTGTGGAGGAACTTGAAAAAAAAAAAAAAAAAGCCACATGAAGCCTAAAAGGACGCATCCCCCCTGTGGAACACTCTCCTCCCGGTCGCCTGCACACGCATCCAAACCCTCCTCTTCAAGGCAATAGTGTGTGTTTGTACGTTCACTGATGCTCGTGGTTTTTATGACTAACGAAACCCTGTGTGAACACTGCTGTGTCTTTTGTCAGTGTGTGTGCATGTGTGTGAAGGTGCGAGTGTGTGTGCGTGTGGGCTGACCGTCACACCTGCAAAATGGGCTCGGAGATTATGAGCAATATATTGTACCTACATACCCCAAATGTCTGCGCTGTCAGTTTAACTACAGGAGCATCAACGGCAATATCCAGATCCAAGGAATGGGAAACTTATGATTCTTTTTTTTCTTAAATATTTTCTTTATGGACTCATGAAAAGCTTTTTCTCACATATTTTGGATACGAGAGAAGGAAAGTGTCTGTTGCTATTTTTGCCTTCAGCAGGACCAAATTTGCACGAACGAGGGCTCATGTTTGTTTGTTTGTTTCTCAAAGAAAGAAGCCATCGGATTCACCGCCAAGCAGTTACGGTGTTCAAGTATTAGTCTCGTCATGTGCTTTCGATGAACCCCTTTATCTTTCACTCGCAAAAAAGTTTCACAGTCACTGTCTGGCTCTTCGTTCAGTCTGAGACTTCGTGGTGTCGGTGACTGAGTAAACCCTGCAGGAGGTTTTTCTTTTCCTGTCAGACATCACTGCTGGCCTGTCACATGTTGTCTTTACTGAATACTGTTGAATGCTACCAAATACAAATCTTCTGAATGTTACTGATCCTCAGCAGAGCCGTCTTTCTTTGTACGATCAACAACAATTGCTGAATCTAAAACCACGACCTGCTCGGGAACGCCAACTCATGCCTTTTGATTTAGGCCTCCAAATTTCACTGAAATCTATGAATCACGTTTCAGTCATGCTTGTTTTTGTGTGTGTTTTTTAGGGGGAGGGGTGAACTAGCGTTTTAAAAGGAACCTTCCTCCCCCTCTTGTGACACACAGTGCAGTTACATTTTTCTTCATGTGTTTCTTCATTTTTCTTTTACTAAGTAATCCCAGGGCTCAAGATGAAACTTGACAAAAAAGCAACAAAAAAACTAAAATAATGGTCCAGTTCGAGGCTCGGTCGGTTGCCTGCTTCATGTATTTACGCATACAGACACACACACACACACACACACACACACACACACACACACACACACTTCTCTGCTCAAGCACAAAAGGGCACATGTAAGACGACACACATGCATGCATGCACGCCGACACAACTCTGTTGAGACCAAACGATGCCCACTCTGTGAATAGAACCAACTTACAATTGCATGATGGGAAACTTTATTGTGCCAGCACGTGTCTCTATGATGTTTCTTGACTTGTTTTAAATTTCTCCTTGTTTTAAATTTCCTAACTATGTAATAACGATGACTCATCAATGTTGTTCCGTTTTTCTTTTTTCTGTGTTTTTCAAAAAGGCTTGTGAATACGTCTCCTGTAACCAATATGAATGTGAACACAGAACTCGCATGAGAGAATTATTTTCTACTGAGGATGTTTCTAATTTGTTTCTTATCATTAACGATCGTTCTTTAATGAGGATGAAGTGGACCTGGAATGCAGCCTGATTGTGATCTGCTTCCTATTAAAAGGACATTTATGTCACAATCTAAACGACTGCTTTGATTATTGTTTGTGTCAATGAATGTGTATTTGTTCTGTTAATACCAAATTAAAGCATCTGAGCCTTTAAAGTAAAGACGTTTTAATCCACCTATTGAAAGGCTCTGAATCAGAGCAGTGTTTGAGCAGACGCTGTGTTCTCTCACATGGAGACAGCTGGGTGTTATGTTGACACAAACCTGCAGCTGGAACAACTGGCTTCCACTGCAGAGAGCGCTCAGTCTGTTCTGTGTGACCTCTGACCTCCCTGTGGGAGGGGGGGGGGGGACCATCACGCATCACCATTTCACACAACTCGAACCACATGTTGGAGACACTCACACCACAGAGGAGAGAAGACGCTGGAAAACGGTGGCGGTGGGAATTAAGAACATTTTGTGTTCAAAGTTAGATATAAATAATGTGTTCATGTTCTTCAGTCTGTTTTTTGTATTGAAACATTAGAAACGGAATTTAGTAATGCATGTGCTGTGAACCAGAACAGGACTGATTCTTAGTTTGATTCAGGGCTGTTAACTAACATTTGCATTATCAATGAATCTTCCAGGTCTTTTCTGTATGATTTAAACAGGAGGTCCACACAAAGTCATAAATGACAAAGAAATACCAATTTCAATCCCTCACCAGTTAGACACAACAGCAAACTTCTAAAATATGTCAACCTTTACATATTTGGCACTTGTGCTTGAAATGACTGAAATATCATCACAATTGTTGCAAATTCATTTGCTGTGGATACATCTCAGCAATCTTATTTGTTTATAAAATATTTGCGAGTGAAAAAGGCCCTAAACCATTTGTCAGTTAGCAGGATTATGTGGAGGTGTGGCATGACCCTATAGGAAGATTACTTCATCATTATGATCCATTTTTCATGATGAATTAAGACAAATAGATTTTCAATTCATTTTGCCATTGATGCATCATTTCTGCATTGCTCTGAAAAAAACTGGATTTCTATTCAAACGTTAGATCCAGGCTCGTGTATCATTCAATATTTGTAAAGAGACAAATGTGAGCTGCAGAGTTCACACCCACATTAGTCATGGACTGATCTGCGGCCCTGATGCAGGTATCTCTACTGCCACCATGTGGTGAAGAGTGCAGCTGCTCCACTCTGCCGCACACAGCAGAACAAGAAGAAAAAAAAAACACAAGCCACAAGTTTCTTATTTTACAGTAAAAAAATGAAACCAAAAACGAGACTTTATTAAAGAAGCATAAAAAATAAAACTCTTGATACATTTCTCATAACCGTCAAGTCAGCTCAAATTATATGATTATACAATTTTCCCGGGTCACGGTTAAAAGGTCCATAAACTTTCAAATAAAATATATTTCAATTTTAAAATTTCTTCAATAGTTTTCTCATTTTGTTATAAATTGCCTATATGTAGTACACAGGAAATAAGGAAAATAAAAAATGGAAAATAAAAATAAATTTGAAGTAATAAAAAGGGTCACATTATTGTCTGGGATATTTAGGTAAGCAAATAAATTGTAAAAAATAAAATGTATAAAAAGTTTTTTTTTCTTTTAAATCTTAAAAATTATTAGCTAATGCCAGGTGGCTTGAAGACATGCAGATGGTTAACTTACAAATAATGATACATGTTCTTTAGAAACTACACTTATCTTCAATTAAGTCATTTTGCTTTTGAAAACGAGATCCCAATGATTGTATTCAGGGTATATACACACACACATATGCACACACGCACAGGTCAGGACTGAAACCTAGTTAGCCAACGTTTTACATTTTGGTTCTGCATACAAAGAGACTTAAAGCAAAAATAGGAGAGCGGAGGCTTGAGGGGAGTGTGTCACCCCTTACTGGCATAGCTCTCTTTGCATCCCCCCTCTAATCACAAAAAAGGTCAGAGGTCACTGGCTAGCATGCCTCAGGAAACCCTGTTTTCAAACCTTTAGGAAGGAAATGGGGGAGGGGGAATGTTTGGCTAAAAAAGTAAAAATCAGCAGTCAATCTGAAAATAAAAATGGTACCTTTTTTCATTTAAACAATTAATCTACTGTACATTAAAACCATAACATTCTCTCATTGGCCAGAAACTTCCCAGTGCAGCACCAGGAATCACAATAAACCCATCTGGCAATAAAACCCCAAAAAAATAACACAACACATTTTTATTTCTTTAACACGGCGACTTGGACAGTTTGGAGACGGGCTTTAAGATCTGTTCTGAGCGTGCACGAGTAAGAGGCTTGGCGCTCGATATTGGAGCCCGACGAGGAGATGGGTTACTGGTTTTGTCGGGTCTATGGTGTGAAGCTGCGGGAGATTCTTCAGAGAACTTAAACGGCTCTCCCACTACCAACTGCGGTTCATTTGTTTGTCAGAGGCTTTCAGTAGGGAGTTGCACCAAAGCACCATGGGATAACCTTCAGGCAGACGACCGGTTCAACGCAGATTTTTTCCTACATGTGTGAAATCTACACGAATCATCTGCTGCGCTCGACGAGGACAGCTGCTTATTAGATTCCTACTGCCCCCGTCACCCAAGCAGCACACAGACAGTCAAGACAGCAAATAAGTTGAAGGTCATGCTGGCTGGAGCACCAGAGCACAGCAGCTACCGCCCCCTTTCACCAATTATGACTCAAGTAGAGATTACCCTTTTTCCCTTGATAATAAAAACCCCGCCCTGATCTGCAACCATGTCCGGGGAGCACGACACATTGTGACTGCGTTGCCCTGCACTCTATCGACAGCATCTGAATGTGATGACTGTGTAGGGACGATAAAAGAAAAAATCAGCAGATTAATAAAAAGCAAAACATTCTGCAGCTGCTGGGATTTGAACACAAAGTGTCTGGAAGCCCTGGATGACCTAGCTACTAGCTGCCATAAAGGATACGTTGATTCTTTTCCTACTGTGTGAAACATGTGATTGTGTGTGTGTGTGCAGTCAGAGGAAGCCCTTAAGAATTAGGTGCGTGTCGTTTGAATTAAGTCGTCATGGCTTGTCTCATTCTATGAGCTGATTCCATGAAATGTTTGAAAGGGCCACAAAAACGTACCGTCGCCCCAAATTGTCCGTACAGTATTAACACTATAGGAGGCAGTTACTGCAAACTCTTTAAAAACACAAAGACAAAAACAGGACACAACCGCCTCATCGGGAATTACCCAGTAATGCTATGAAACACAGGACAAGTCGCAAACAGCTAACCATATAGTGCACTACATTTGGCCAGGAGTACAGCGCTATATGGGAATGACAGTGTGTCATCTGAGAGTGCCATACAGCTTTGCTGTGAGAGTGGGGTGGAAGACCAAAACTTAACAAAAACAGTAAGAGCTGTTTCTTTTTTGGCTTTTTAGTTTTTTAAGTTTTTTTTTTCATTTTACTTTTTTTTTTTTTTTATGTATGGAACAAGGATTTGCAGACCACTTAGCATGCCGTCTTTATAAGCCAGGGCTGCCGGTGCCCACTTCTGCTCACGTGTGTGTCCATGTGTGCATGCATGGCCCTATACTGTACGTGTGNTTTTTTACAGGGGCTGAGGATTACAGTGCATGAAAAAAAAATGCTTCAAATCAAGCCCCTTGTTATTGTTTCATGTGGGAGGAGCGGACGTCTCTCCTTAACCTGGACAAAAACATTCACGTGTGACATCAGAAAAGCCCTATCTGATCCTAGAGTTCAAAACATGTCTGTAAGCCACACACTCGACAGTCAAGAGTCAAACACAAGTAGAAAACACGAAATGAGTCGATCTGAGTGTAACAGACAGGAAGTGAGAGGAAAGTGTCCCGGTGTGGATGGATCAGAGCGTCGGGTGAGAGTGAAGTAAAGGAGGGGCAGCGGGACAGAGACCAGAACCTTCTCCTGGTGGAGGATGCGTAACAATGCAGAGGTGAAGAACAGCATGAGCGGGCGTTACTCTCACACGCGCGCGCAAGAGAGATGTAAAGTGATTGTCAGGCAGCTCATACGTACAGACCTCAGACACATGCCTTCATCATCACTCATGGTATGTTTGACTTATTCAAGAGGATAAAATCATGTGAATCGATGCAGCTGCCACATTATAAATGTGGGGCGGACTCATCCAAATTCATCCAACACATTATTGAGTTTTATCAAGAATAACAAGACGTCTATTTATAGCATTCATTTGGCATCACTGATGGCTAATTTTTCTTCTGTGGCAACGAGAAACAAGGAATTCATCCTCAAGAGGTCCCTCGGGCGTATTGTTCTGCTAGGTGCCTGACTACATGCCGACCAAGCTTAAGGGGATAACAGCAACCCCGCCGCTTCATGTCGAAATCGAGGGGTGGGGGGGTGGGGGGGTTGTTGGAACCGTTTGCGTCCTGTCAAGAACATTAAAATAAGGAGTAGAAAAGTGCAGGCCTCAGTGACAACTTCATCGAAAAATATCTGTTAAGTACAAAAGTGTCAAAAGGAAAGGCTGTGAGAGAGAAAGCAGGCAGAGATCTGAAGAAGCCAGAATGAAGAAATGTGGAGACGGACCGGCGGCCAGTGGTGCACGCTGCTCCGGCTCAAAATGAAGGCCTGAAGAGAGATAAGACACTAGTTTCCTTCCATCAAGTTCACCGCCCAGAGACTGTCTTGAGCCCCGATGTCTGCAGACCAGCTTCTAGTAACTTCACTCTTAAAATAAGTCAGTCATTATTATTATTATTGTTATTATTCATCTTGACAGTTATCAGTAATAAATCAACATCCGTATAGTATCATCATCTCTATTAATGTATTTATTATGGTCCGTCATGTGTGTGAAGGTTTTTAGTGTGGATCCTTCCATCGCCTCTGCCACAGCAGGTGCCCCACTCAAGTCCTCTTCCTGTGCCCCACTCAAGTCCTCTTCCTGCCCCCCACCCTCAAATTACACCTCCCATCCCCAACCCCCACCCCGCCTGGGCCATTAGGAGAAGATGCGGATGCACTGTGTAGTGGGGGTGTGGCAGACAGGGCACTCCGGCTCAGTTGACTGGCAAATTTGCCCGGCACACTCCATGCAGAACAGGTTGTGGCCGCAGGGCACCAGGGCTGCCGTCACCTCGCTCTCAAAACACACAAAGCAGTCCCTGTTGACCCCGGGGCCGACGCCAACCAGGCCCGCCACCCCAGAGCCGCCTTTCAGTCGACTCAGGATCCCAGAGCTGAGGCCCACGCCGCTACTGCCTCCCTCGGAGTCAGTCGGAGAGCCGCCGGGCAGGGAGGAGGCCGAGCAAGAGGAGTAACCGGTTGACGAGCCCCCGGAGCTGGAGCTGGATGCTCCGGAGAAGGAGCCGCCTCCTGCGCTGCCTGACTGGAGCCAGGAGAGAGTGCTGAGGGGGTCACTTTGTGCACGACGGGCCAGCGGGTGATCCAGGGGGCCCACACCTGTGTCCTGAGGCAGAGTTGGAGACAACCGTGGAGTGATGGCGCCGCCACTGAGGCCACTGCTGTTGCGACGTAGAGGCTGCTGCTGGGAGGAGCCACCTGTCTTATTGCCTGTTCCACCATTAACAAAAGGCGCCCAGATGTTGGAAGCACTGAACTCAAAGCCCAGTTCATCTGAGGAGGGCAGCCCCGGGGTGGAGTCACCCCCGAATGTGAATCCTCCTCCAGCGCTGCTGGAGCCTGTGCTAAAAGGACTAGTTGGACTGCCTCCCTCGTTGGCTTTCCTGCTGGTGCTGAAGCTTTCCGAGTTCATACCGCCATTGTGCGCTTGGTAGGCGGCAGAGGAGGACACCTTTCGGCTGTTGGAGTGGTGCATGGACATGGGAACAGCGGCAGGAGGGGAGGGTGGAGGGGGAGGAGGGGCAGAATGGTGATTGGTAGCCCTGGACCACAGAGACGCCGCCAGCCCTCCGCTCAGGGAGCCCAGGCCTTCCAGGCTGACATCAGTGCCGTTGGAGTGGAAGTCGTTGTCTCCCTGCAGGTCGACAAAGGTTCCAGTTCGCAGGGTGATGTGGGTCTCGATCTCCTCTCTCGCTCGGTCCACATTTTCCGGCATCCCGGTCACCTCGAACACGGGGTCTTTCTCTCGACTGGGTGTCACGATGTAGGTGTGAGTCTGCTGCTGGATGCGCTTGATAGTTGCTCCCTTTGGTCCAACAACTAAACCAACAACTCTGTAGGGCACCCTCACCTGGATCAATGATACACAGAGAATGACTTTAATGACTGAAAAACAAAAACTTTACTTTGTAGAGATGATAATAAAACAAACATCCAATAATTCCTTTGTTAGCTGGCAGGAGGAAGATAAAAAAAAAAAAAACGGGTGATAACTAAGTCACAGGGGTTTCTGTACCTGTATGGTGGTCTGTCCAGGAAGATGTGGTGGTCCAGGAAGAGAGCTTCCCCCTCCGGGTGCGCCAGCTTTGCAGCGGGACGCCCGGATCATAGAGAAATGCTCGGCCGCAGAGACAATTTCACGTTTGGCCATCTCCACGTCCTCTCTACGTCCTGTCACGATGAAGACGGGCTCCTCGCCCCTCACTGGAGTCTTTATGTAGGTGTTTGTTTTGGCACGCAAGGCCTTGATCTTACAACCTGGAAGATGGCGAGGGAAGAAGCACAAAGATATTAGTTTTATGAGTTAAACAAAAACACTCAAGAAGCCACGTGTGTGATTATGTTATACAAACAAACAAGCTATTAAAGGGATTTATTAACACTCAGCTAACCATTCATCAAATAATAATACAAGAGCAACAAATCTTACTGAGGTTGTACGGTTCAGTATTTGAGGTTTGATCTCATATTGTGATTAGTTTCGGATGGAGTAGTTTGTGATGCTATTGTTTCTTTTCAGTCTCCGCTCACTAAAACAAACTGGGCATTAAAACGACTTCTCAGTTTTCAGAAGCAGAGTTCAACAGTACAATAAACCACAGCCATTAAAATGACAATTAAGTTGAATGAAAACCTCAATAAAAACAGCTGAGAAAAAAACGAATGTTTATCGTTTTAACCTGACTACACCTATAAACAAGTGTGGTTCTGTTGTACAAACATATCAAGCAGCCAAATAAAAACAGCGTTGATAAATTTCTCTAAATGAGGACAAATAGTGATTCAGTGCACTTCAATCCATTGTGTTAAAATAATATTTTGGAAAAACAAATACGTGGGGGTGGAACTCCTGCAAATGTCATTTTTAATATGAGAAATAATCATATTCCAATGCATTCATTGATAGATCACACTGCAACACTCGAAAGGTCTTTACGCACTTCCTGTTGTCATGTAGCAAATATATAAAATCTATGCAAATCAATTCATATGCATATTACATAAATATATTTTATGTCCTTTACATTTTGTCATTATATTTGAAAAACTGCTGCTGTAACAGAGGATTCCCTTATACATCTGTAACCAGAGCAGGTAAAAGCAGCAGGCTCCTATATATATAAATATATATATATTGCTCAATGGCTGCTGCACTGCTTGTGTCAACTCATGTCGCCTCCTCCAGCAGCGCCTCCTCTCGTGTGCTCCTGTTTCTTTAAATATGGACGCTCGGTTCCCGGCGACCAATCGGGCGCACGGAGCGTGATGTCATTGTGGGAAGCAGAAAGCATGGCTTTTTCAAACAAAGAGAACAATGCCATAACGCTGCCGCGGCCGCCACAGGTGAAACCACAAGCCCACCGCACTGGCCGTGGTTAAAGAGTGCTGCACATGTCGATGAGAGACAATAGAGATGCATGGAGTGTGTGAAATAAAGGCTGCGTCTCGGAGGCGAGCAGCAGCAGCAGCAGACTGGGTGCAGGGCGTAACACCGCCCAGTCCCGTGTTTGTGTTTCAACCTAAATCTGCTCAGCGCACACAACAAAGATCTGACACAAACACACGTAACAGAGTTGTGAATATGAGCTCAGTGCGCAAATCTGCGTCTTCTGGTGTGTTGAGTGGTAAACTAGCAGGTCTCGGTGTGTTTCCTTTGTTTGGTGCAGGCAGCTAGACATGTCCAGACTCCCGACAATCTGCCGCTTTGTCTGACCCTCTCCCACCCCTCCCCCCTCCCTCCTACTCCCCAACCACACTCTCACCCACTCTCTTGTGAAGACATTGTCTGAATATCGCTCCAAACCACATGTAAATACAGGACGAACGGCTTTTTAACGGAGTGATCGCGTTATGATGGCGTTACAGAGCCATGCGGTTAGTGCAGGGAGACCAGGGCACCGAGATGAGGCAAATTCAACTTCACAGACCCCCCCTCCTCCAAAACAAGGAGCCACCCAAACAAAGAACCACCAGGCTGCATGCTGCACATACACAACGTATCACCATCACAACAACAACAACACAAAGACACACTCATCTTACCTTGTCTTCCTACTATTTCAGCCACATGCTCGGAGCTGGGCACAGGCACACATTCGGTCATGTTGACACTTCTTTTCCTGCTGCAGAGGACAGAGCTTTGTTCCCCGTGCAGCATGGGGTGCGAGCCGGTCATGTGGTACCCGCCCGAGCCGTAGTACTCCGGGGATGGGGAGCAAGACGAGGGCGAGTCCCGCGACCCGCCGGGATGCTCCAGCATCTGTAGGTCCATGTACCCCCCTCCACCGACGCCGTTGCAGCCCTCGGAAGCGGGAACCGGGGTCCCATCCAGAGAGTCGGTCAGCCCAACACCTCCGCCCCCACAGTCCACTTTCTCCAGGGCCATGAGTGACAGCTGGTCCAGGGCGAAGCGGAGCGCCTCTTGGTGGTCCTCCTCCCGGGACTCCTGGTCCGTCTCTCGGGGCAGACCGACCCCATTGTGCTGGCTGCTGATGACCACGTCGTGGTCCATAATCTCGGGGTGGAATAAAGGGCTAGGCATAGTCTCTCCGTGGATCTCACATCAGATCACGGATGCCTATTTGTTGGGAGTGATCTCTTCTCCTGAAATAAAATAATAATGAATAAGTTAAGAGTTGTGTTTCTTGTTAATAACAGGGATGCGGTGAGCAGCGTGCAGCCGCGGATCATTCATAAACACCAGCAGACTGTAGTAGTGTTGATTTGGGCGCCTCGCTTTGTCTGTTGTTGCTTCTTGTCTGACAACTGAGATCATCCGGGCTGCTTGTGTTTCCAGAATAAAGCTAAACCCGCTTTAACACAAGCCAAACTAACTACTTCCAGACACCGACATGAAACCCCTCAGTGTCTGTAACTCCAGCTGCGGCTGTGTGAGCCGCTGCTTTTAACAACACGTAAATAAAACGAGGAGACGAGCTGTTGTTAGCTTCAGCAGCCGAAGCTAACAGGCTAACTACACAGTCGGCACTCAGTCACGTTGTCGACCCCTTTGTTTGGGAGCACCGCAGCTAGCTGCTAGCTCCGCGCTGTCAGTCCAACTTGGGCTCTTTCTCAAAGGCAGCCGTGCTCAATTTTCTAAATTAAACAAGTGCTAAAACCACAAGAACTTACTTCCTATTGTCTTTGTCGACGGGCTCCTGTCTTCGGCTGCAGTCCAGCTCTCGGGTGGGGAAGATGAGAAGCAGCCAGGAGAAGGAGCAGGAGGAGGAGGAGACCGGAGCTGAGCGGCGCTAGGAGCTAGCGGGCTAGCTAACTAGCTAAACGGGGGGCGTAGGAGAAAAACGTTTAAAAACGCAAAGAGGGAAGCGTTGTGTTGTTTTCTGTCTGGAGAGTGAAGCCTCCCTGCGAGCACAGTCACTGGCTCCTCATGCTGCTCACCGTCAGGAACACAGCAGCTGGAGGGTAGCAGTTACCTTTTAGTTAAAAAATAAAGCAGTGGTTCTCGGCTCCGCGCTGCTGCTGCTGCTGCCGCCGCTGCTGTTGCTGCTGCTGCTGCCTGACCCCGGTCGCTCCGCCGCCTTTGTCTCGCCAGGCGCACGCCGCTCCGTCTCCCGCACACGGCACTGACGTCACCCGCGACACAACAATGGGTTCAAAGGCCACATGCAGCAGGAGGAGAGCATCATCCACGCAAAGCCACTGTCACAGCCATTGTGTCTGCGGGACGCTGGTGTTCGATCCCCCTCCTGTTGGTGCGGGTCCCGATAAATTGTGCTCACGGCTGGGTGTGTTCATCATGGCTACCAAGGAGATGTTTTGGGTGCTCCTGCACTGGAGGATGCTCATGCAGTGTGTGCGTGTGCATTTATGGAAAACAAAATCACAGATGGGCAATTGTTCCATGTCGAAATGTAAGCATTGCAAATAAATTACCCAAAGCACTAGTGTCATGAGCAAAATATCTCAATTATATGTCAGGTCTATCTCTATACTGCCAATACAACAACGTGTTGTGTAATGATGATGATAACAATACGCTGTATTTATAGAGCACATTTCAAAACACAGTTGCAAGGTGGTTTACAAGTAAAAAATGACACAATACTAAAAAACTGAAAAGCTATTTGATGGATGGCACAGCATTACAGCACGAATACAGGAATAAAACATGTTTCAGATGACAAGAATTAAAATAAGACAACACAAAACATAAAATGATTAAAATATTTGGTAAGATCAGAATTAGGAAAAAGCACACCGATAAAGATTGTTTTTAAGAAAAGGAGTTGGTCGGATGGAAATTGTTGGGACTGTGGATGGTGAGTAGGGCCTTCACCTCCGTATTCACTGTGATTATTCCTCACGTCCCTGCTGCCTGTTAAATTATCCCTTTTTATTTGTGCCAGATTTACTCTGTGTCCTCGCTGAGCTGTGAATCAATGACGACATACAGTAAAGATGGAATTTAAAATTAAAAAGACATTCTTGTCCTACATGTGTCTGAAAGAATATGGATGAAATTTTTCCATTTCAGAAGTTTATAAGGGGATTATTTTCAGACAGGCTTGAAAATGTAATGAAAATCTTTAAATAAGAGAACCCTTTATCTTAAAATGAGAATCCATCGTCCTCAGCCTCCAAAGTGAATGAATGGTAATAACTAAAGAGAAAAAACAACTCGGATGGCACTCAGTAAAGCACATTATCTGCCCAGCCCATCAGTCCCCTCAACCACGTTTAATTCACTAGATCAAGATTTTTATTTGGATCTGCACCAAATTGCTCACACACAAACATGCCTGATTTTTTTTCATAGAGATGACTGAATTTACATATTTATGAGATAAATGGCATTTTGAAAAATGTCCCATTTCACATATTTAAAGGGAGTGAGAAACCAAAATCCTGGATCTGCAACCTGTTTCACACAAAAACTAAATAGATGCTTTCTTGGGTCATACCCCACCCCTCCCCAAAATTTCACAAAAATCAGTTTTGTAGTTTTAGCATGATCCTGCTAAATAACAAACAAATGTAAAAAAATAAAAACCTCCCCTGCTGAGGTAATAACTGACTCACACACCAATAACAAAACAGCTGTATTTATTCGACAGTGTCACAGTGATACAGAGACAAAAATGAATCTTGTAATGAGGTACAGTACACCAGGTCATGAGGTACATGAGCGTTGTATTTGTTATTTTGTATTTTCTTACGGCACACAATTTCTTTTACTGAATAAAATCAAACATGGCAAAACAATACTGACAATTTTTCTGTCAGAACAAAAAACATGGCTTAAACCAGGGGCAGGGAACCTACGACGTTCGAGCCCTATAAGCCCGTCGGACAATTTATAAATATAAAAAAAAGGGAACTAAATTTTTTTTTCTTCAATAAAACAAAATAAAATAATAGCATAATAGTGTCCTTCAGTATGGTCCCTTCTGGTTGTATGACAGATGGGTCCCAGACACATCTCTAGACACACACATTACGAATCATTACTGACTAGCATCATGGCAACTCTGAAGAAAAGCAGAAGCAGATGCTTTCCAAGAGAAATAGATTAAAAAAAAAAAAAAAAAATCTCTTATTTTGTAGTGTCAGCAGTGGACGTAAAATACCACAAAAAATTATACATGGGATACTGTTACATGTTCAGTGAAAGCAAGAGCTTCATAAAAAAAAAAAAAAAAAATGAAGTCAAAAGACAAGAAGGTGTGTTTAGTATGTGGGGTCATAGTCTCAATGTTTAAAAAATCTGATCTCGACCATCATTACAGCTGGAAACAGGTTTTACTAGAAGAGTTGCAAAGGCAAAAGCTCTTGGATGAAGTAAACACTCTTGAGCAGAGTTCACAAGAAAGTGTCAAATAGACTGTTTTGTGGTGAACGAGCTAATTGCTAAGTAAAATTATTCCATTCCATCAGTTTGTTACAATAAGCTTCTGCAAAACAGATTACTGATATGGCACAAGATATAAAAAACTAAAAAACCCTCTTCAGGACAGCACAAAAACTTCCATTTTTTCTCTCTGGCCTGCGATGAAATTACAGACATAACAAACACATTTTTGTGCGTGGGATTGCTGCTGATTAGGACATGAGGGAGGAATTGTTGTCTTTGCAAGCCATGCACTATGAAAGGTGGGGATTAACTTAAATACGGTTTTGATTTGTAACAAGGTGCCTTAACTTTCAAGGCACCTTGTAGCAAATGGAGTCTCAGCCATGGCAGAAGATAATTCGTGGCATTGGTCAAAACATTAAATAAGTAATCTCAGTACGAATGAAAGTGATTGAGATGTGTTCCACTGTCTCAAACATAAACACATCAGTCATATTCCCTGGAACACACTGGCATTATGACAACATATGGGCCGTACAGCTGCCAGTTTAAGAGGCTGCTGAGGGAGCCTGAGAGTTCAGAGATCTGGTTTATCATTGAGATGCGCGAGGGTTGAATCAAGGTAATATGCTGCCAGGGAGAAAACACTTCATGGAGATGAAGGGAAAACCTGTCGTGCAACTCAGTGATAGCAAGTGGCAATGTGATCTGGCCTTCGTGGCAGACCAACAACCTCCCGGGGCGCCACATCAAGCTCCAAAGTCCCAACCAGCCTCTTAGCTCTCTGCTTTCAAACATAGGGCAATTACAGCTGTGGTAATTGCAACACTGTGCACTTTCCTGCTCTGCAACTACAAAAAGCCAGCTATGACATCCGAATATGCTGGTGAGTCTGCAAAACTCCTTCAGGCGTTTGATGATTGTTTCAGGACGTGAAATGTAAACAAACGGAGCATATTTGTTAAGCCGTTTAATGGGGAACCAGCTGATGTGCCTGACGACCTATAACATAATATTATCAAGCTGCAGAGCAACAATGAGTTCAAAGCCACAAAAATTTCTGCTCAAGTTTTATAAACTGTATGCGCGTCCTGAGGAACTTCCTAATTCCGAGCAGACATGTAGTGACGTTTGCATCTCTGTTTGGGACAACTTGTGTCTGAGAGCAGCGTTTTCAAAGCTGAATCGTGCAAAGACTCTGTTCTGCTCAAGACTGACCGACAATAACCTAAAGAAACAGCTGCGAGTTGCATGATCACCGCCATCTGACATCAGACGTCATCAAGGGGGTTAGTGTGATATTTCTGTTCAGTCATTTAGTATGCCTCTTTGAGGATTTTCTCAAAATGAAATGGGCCTTGATAGGAAAAAAAAAAGGATCCCCATCCCCGGACTTAAACTTAGGTTATCATGAGAAACAACAGCACTTTAAACTGTAAAACCTTTATCAAATGAGCTAAATGTGATTATTCACAGCCACATGAGTGCTGTGTGCATGTAAACATATGGCAACCTACACAACACTACCTACAGTGCCAGAGTTCAAATATAAGAGCAACATATTCTTCTTGAACAGTTAAAAAAGGAACACACTTGAGGTTCTCAACATGAACTGATACGTCTTACATACACACAACACACATACACACAACACACACACACCAGGTTTGTGTTTTTAACTTTGAGCTTGAACAGCTGTTAACCGAGTGTAACACTGCATTGAGCACCATCCAAAACTGTCATACAGAGGTAAAAATTTAAACTCAAAGTACCCTTTCAGGGTTACATAGTCAAATATAAAAAAAGATGAAAAGAAACAGATTTTTGTTTAACAAGACTTGCAGAATGTGTTTTTAGGGTCTACTTCATGTAAACGTTTATAAAAAATCTTCATGGAGCCAATTGTGTGAAAATAAAACCAGTTTACCGGCAAACGTCATGTCGGGCCTGTAGGAGTGATGAGAAAGAGACAAGGTACATGTTTAGCTGAGTACTTAAGCTTTTTAAAGTGTAAGAAGTCTGTAAATGGATAGTGGAAAACAAGATGATGGCCGCTACACATTAATCATTAGCATACCTTGGCTATGATTCCTCATTGTCCACCTGCTCAACCTTCTCTTCTACTTTGTCGGCTGCTGTGTCTGCAGTGGCGTCCTCTATATGAGCCAACATGTCAGCCATGAGAGCCTCCTCGAGCCGCCTCCTCACATTCTGCACCAGGTCCTCCTGCTTCCTATAAGGACACAGGCAAGGAAAAACAAAATTAGAAAAAATAAAAGCTAGCACTAAGGAACACACACCTATCATGGAAAACACAGAAGGATTTTGAGAGCAGAGAAATAAATATAGCCATTTCATTTTTTCAGTCTCTTTCAGCAAATTTTACTTGGTTGTTCTAAATCACATCCCACCAAAACACTGGACAGTGCAATGTAAGCCTGAGAAGTTTTGGTATGAGTGACTGCAGGGACACTCACAACACTGAACCAGATTCATCAGTACAGTGGGCTGTTTCACAATCTTCCACAGCCAGTCAGACTGTCCTTGATTTAAGTCGAGTTAGTTCCAAGATTTTTCGCTTCTGAACGATTCATGTTGCCATCTTAACCATGGTGATTAAGGGGTTTAATCTTATATAGCATATTCTATCATATCATATGAATGAATTCATATGAATCTGATTCCTTGAGTTATGACCAAAACCTGTTACACAACATCTATTTTATATTGGCAGCCCACTGCTGATTAAAGGCTTGTTACCCTTCGTAGTATCCTGCCGCATACATAGATCAATGACAGTGCAGCTGTGTTGCACATGTGCACCTCTCACCTGATGTCATCATCAGTCACTACGAAGGCTTTACAAAGAGGCTGCGCTGTGTTGAGCCACACTCCAGGATTTTTCTCCACCGCAGCAGTGAGCTGTCCGGTGACGGGTGCAGGGCTGGTGTGCAGCGCGCTGGCGATGGAAGAAAGCAGTGTTTTATCTGAACATGCAGGCCCAACACCTATGACAGGGAAAAAAACAGAGGGACATGTCAAGGTTGTAGAAAACTCTTACTTTGAATTATACATGGCAGTCATGTTGTCTGTTACTCTCACCCTGTAAACCTTTGGGAAGATCCATAGTTTTCACCAGTTCCTCCGCAATATCGAATGCATTTAAGCCGCTCAGCTTTCTTTCCCAGAACAGCTGAAGATTGAAGCAAACCAAGAAAACACGGGGGAGGGGGACCTTGTAAAGTTTTGTTTTTTTTTTAAATTCAAAACGGAAATGATGCTTTATTGTGAAATGTATACAGATATCTGCGTCCGGGCAAATTAGCCCTTCAATACTCTCCAAAAGCGAGTCATGTCAAATCACCAGGCTTTGAACTCTGAGTGAGTTACTCAAATTAAAATTTGCAGGTAAAGCTGATTCCTTTGACTCTTGCATGCAGTTTTACTCTTTACTGAGATAGTACTAACACCTGCATGTTTCCTGCTCTCCGACTTACTTGCTTGGGTTGGTCCACAGCTTTCTGCGGGTCTGTCTTCACCTTGTTGTTGGGGTGATTTGTTACCTTGGTCACCGGCTGTTTAAAGATGGATGCTGTCTGTCGAACTGGTAGTGTTGTGTTTAAATCAGGCTTGGACTGTAAGGAAAATGAGAACATGAATAATTCTATTACGTGTTTATTACGTGGATCATTGGGAATGAGTGATTCAGAAATAGCAACACGTCTGGTGCCATGGTGACGTATATTTTGCCACTTTATGGCCAACTGCAAAGGAAGTTAGTTTAAAAAATGGTCTCATGGCATCTTAACTACTGTTTGCCAGAGGGCACGTGGGAAACTTAGGAGGAAGAATGTTGTTTGGTTAAATGACAGTGTTTATACCTTGCATTAACATGTGTCTTAGTTGAGTGGATAGCTTCTAAGTACAGGTGCACTGAGGATGCACTGTCAGACCCAGTCTGTATTCTGATTTCTCCTTTTTGTAATTTGCAGCAGACACGGTAGGAGGAGAACATTGCTTCCTCAAACCGGTTAAAGTCAAAAATAAGTTCGGTCTCTGCAAATAGAAACAATGCAGTTCCTCCCAAAAACTCATGGGAACAGTGAGGCCATTTATCTTGTTTCTGATGTACACAGAGGATATTTGTGTTTAAAGATCCAAAGATAAATATGAAACATGAGTTCAGAGTTTCAGCTTTAATTTATTGGAACAATATTTGCAACTAGATAAAAAGCTTACGACAGACCACCTATTGTATCAGGCTGCCCTGTTTTTAGGTGAGCAAAAGTTAGGTAACATATACTTGCACTTTAAATTCAGTCTCCTCTTTAGGACATGAAATGCTGCTCTATTAGGTTGGAGTCTAGTGACTAGGACAGTCTAAAATCTTCCATCTCATCACAGACCTGCTTGTATGTTCTGGATCATGAGTGGATCCCTTCTTTCTTCACACTTTGGCCTTTTGAAAACTTTGTTACAGAATGTTTGCGGCGCATCTCTGTACTTCTCTGGCCATCCCATGTTTTACTGCTGGCGAATATTTTGTATCTTGTGATATGGCCTTAATATTTCTGCTGTCAGTGTCTTATTCAAGCGGTGGATTGTGATACTTTCTCTCCTGCCCTGTGGAGGTTGGTGGTGATGTCAGACCGTCGTTTTAGATTTCTCTTCACAATGTTTCTGTCATCTTTTGCCATTTTTTGTCCTTGGCTGACCCAGTTCAGTACAGCAGGGGTTTTCCAATGCAAATTGTTGTGGTCCTTGGGTTTTCTTAATTCTGAACAGAAGGACTCTGAACAGCCAATTCACATGGTTGAAAGAAGGTTTTGATTTATTTTTGATTAATGAATAATAATATGCTCAGTCATCTGGAAAGAAAATGACCTTTTAGGATTTTAGTCATTTTGTACAACCCTAATGTCCAGTTCTGTTTGGATCCTCCCAGATGCACATTAATGTCAAGTGTTAACATATGAACTTATTCTAGTGGTCTCTTTCAAACAGCACAATAAAAAAACACTGTGATTAAATGATGTGAAACAATAACATGAATAGGTCTAAGGGGAAGTTTATATATAAAGACACTGCACATACTATTGTTAAAGTAAATTGTTACAGCGCAGTGAACATGTAATTTTGCAGTAGATTGAAGCAGCTGTAGCTATTGACTTGTGTTAGTGCTAGAAGAATATCTAAGAGGAAAAAGTTTTTGTGAGTGAATATTCTAAGTGTGCAACTCTCTTTGACAGTCTTTTTGTGGATGTGCACATTTTGTCCACGACTTCCCATTGTTAACAGGTGTGTGAATATATTTTGAACAATATTTGCTGCAGCCAGTGTAGCAAAAAAACATGAGAGCAGGAGTTTCTCAGATTGGGATTAGTAAAACAGGGTATATGGACTTGTAATGAAGACTGTGATGTGAAACTTTTGTGTTGTGGGTGAGTTGTCTGTAACTCCGTGTTCTATCTGTGGGAGAGAAAAGAATATCCACATATTTTCAACTGCTAAGGCAGTTTTCTTCTCAAATATACTGACACGTGACTACTTTCTAAGACTACAAATTTCTCTTTAGAAATACAAATTCCATTGTCACATGTGCTCAGTTGGTTTGCAACAGAAAGAACTTCATACCTTCATTTCTGTTGAAGGGTATATTTTCCCTCCACCTCAGGAATTTATGCTCCATGACACAAAACACAGTCTTACCCTGATATGATGGTTGGTTTCGTAGTGGTGCTTGTGCCTGCTGCGCTGCACTTTGGTCAGGAGAGACCTTCCAGCTCGAGAGTGGCTGGCATTCACATCTGTGTGAAGGTTTCCACTCAGACCACGGACTATCTGGGGCTTGTTGAGAATGCACTTAACGGGTATACTAGAAAGAAAAACAGGAAAAAAAACAGTATCACATGACTATTCGCAGCAAGAATCTTGGTTTGAGGTTTGCATGTTCTCTCCAAGTGGTTGTGGGTTTTCTCCAGGTAGTCCAGCTTCCTCCCACCATCCAAAGACATGCTGATGACAGTTAAGTTAGTTTGGAGACTGTAAATAGACGTGTAAACGTGACAGTGAAGGATTATTTGTCTCTGTATCCTTCAGTGACAGACTGATTAACCTTTAGAGTCTGATGGAGACGTATAGCGGGTTGTTCCTACCAGCACCTGCTGTACAATCATCTCTGCTCCCAGTAGAACTCAGTGCACACACCCCAATTCTGGGACTGCACTTGAAAAAATCAGGTTTAACTAGTTTTACAGTGCAACACTTATTCTGCCTCAACAATTCAATGGCTGATGTGCACTCCGTCACACTGTATATATTCTGCTCACACTGTTCATATTGTGAATATATATATATAAATATATCAATTCCATAGTCACATGCCCTTGTGTCTAAACTGCATATTTACTTATTTATTATGGATGCCTACTTTTTGACTGTGCTCCTATCCTTATTGTGGGACCAATAATGGATCATCTTATCTTTTATTGTCACCGTGTTTGAGTTGGCAACGGCTTATCAAAATCATAACCATAATGATGATAATAAAAGAAGGTATAGATTCACCTTCTTCAAAGCTGAGGCCACTTCTCAGTTCATTCTGATCGTGTAGTCTTCTCCACAGGCTAAAGCTGGATTAAGTTTTCTAAGTGACCTCACTGTGAACAACTGAAAGGTCTCGGGAGTTGAAGGTTTTCCCTCCATTACAGATGCAATGACAAGGAGTCAGATGATACTGAGCACTTTAGTGCGACCACACACAGGGTTTAAAACGTGTGCATTAATGGAAACACTCGAGTGGATGTTAGCAGATAAGAAGTTCTGAGGAGGATTCATTAACTGATGCGGTTTGTGAATTGAAAAACAGACTTGCTGCCTCTTAAATTGTGAATTATAGATAATTCGGAGACTTGCGGGTGGATAAAACAATGGTGTGACAACATATCCTTTGTCTCCGTGTTGTATCCTGGATGTTTCTGTCCGAGCTGCGGTGAGTGCGGCGGGGCCCGTCGCACCGCCAGTCAAGCGTGTGTAAACAATGAAACTTAGCTAGCTAATCAAGCTAGCAGCGCCGCTAACGTAAATAACGTCAGCGTAACCGGCAGCTAGCATATCAATTAGTGCTGTTAAAGTTACCCAGTGTGATACAACTACAACTCCCTGCAGCCAAAGTGGAGCTACGTTGACTAGTAGTGTAAATAAATAAGACGGACGTGTTCATTAGCAGATGAGGGTTTCCCCACTACAGGACGTGTGTGTATGTGTGTGCGTGTGTGTTTGCATACGTCTATTTCCTGCACACAAACTTTCACGCTAACATCTGCGCCTTTTTAAAAGTCCCACCTTTTCCTCTCCATGGTCCCGCTGCGTCCCGCTTTCCTCTCCTGTTCCACGGGCTCACGGCAGATCTGAAGCCAGCTCTGCGCTCCTCGTCCCGGTCATGAATTTTCTCACCGAGTTCCGTTTGTTATCGATCCCACTGTCTGTCTCCTCGACCTGTGCCGCTGTGGAATCACTGCGCCTGCCCCTTCACAGAACGAGCGCCGCAAATCCATCCGCCAGACCCTCTGTAAAGACTAGTCCGTACAATGAGCTCACACATACAGTCTATGGCTCACACACAGCAGCACGATCTTCTTCTGGCGTCATTGGGTTGTGTAAAGCGCTTCTAGGTGCACTACTGCCCCCCGCAGGATTAAATCTGACATTTATAAAACTGAATTTATGATCAGATGATCATTCTCATTTTGACCAATAAAGTTTATTTTGAACAAATCTTTATTTGCAACAGCGAAAGACACACATAAAGTATGTTTCTTTGTTTTTGAAATAAAATACACAACCCCTCGCCCCCTTTATTAATTCAGGCAGTTGACAATGTCATGAAAATATGTTGTTTCCGGAAGCTAAGATCCTGTGGGTCTAACAGTACCAACATGCACTGCCTGTTGTCCTCACTGTGAATTACACAAAAGAAAACATGCTTTCTCGTAGATCTCTTTTCCCTTCCTACATTCGTTCACATTCAAATAATCTTGTCAGATGTTTACCTACAATAAAAATCCCTTTGGCTTGTGTAACAATAACTTTTTTTTTTCTGGGGATAAATAGAAAAATAATGTCTTTATTAAGTTCCACTCATCCTTGAGATGGTTACATTTATCCTTTTGTTATAACTAGCCTTCACAAAGATATCAGATGTTTTATTCCACTTAACTACAGCATTCTCAGGGAGCCAGCAGAAACAGACTTAAATATTCCATTTCATTCAAATTGGAACTCAAAAATTGCACCTTTGACGCCAATGTAGTGATATTAGAATATATAATACCCCTCACTGTTATTTATTCTATAAATATCACTATAATTATGGACATTATTCAGCACTTTACTGCTTCTGCACTTCTGATTCAGTATTAAACTGCGTTTCGTTGTCTCAGTGCTTGCTCTCTGAGCAGTGACAGGTCGAATCTAATCAGAGTTAAAAACATTGCAATGATATTGTTCACTTTACTCCACTGAATCTAAGGAAAAGCTTAAATTACTTTACCGACAACTCAGATATGACCCCTACATAAAAGGAAAGATTGGTACAGTGACATCATTGGTGACCAAAGCAAAGCTCCACTCATGTGTCTGCATTGTGGAACAATAAATGTAATTTGACATAATGTTGAGAGCAGGGAAAAACTGAACGTGATAATCAGTTAACGCGTTGTAAGTGGAATAAATATGCACGAATGCAATACAGGATAAATCTCACATATTTTACTTATTCTCATCAAAACAATTACAGCATGACAGTAAGGACAGATTTTTATTTTGTGAATCAGGTTTGATCCACGGCACACACAGAACTGATGATTAAAAATAAATATCTGACCCCAAACTGAACAGGAAAATAAAAAATAAGAGTCCATTTATCATCCACGTTTTCATTTTCCTTCCATTCATGTTTTCACTGGCTGAGGAAAAGTTGAAATGCCACACGGTGGTGTATTTCAGCTGGATGTTTGTGGTGAATAGGTCGATGTAGACTGAGCTGTTGGGTGAAGATGACAGGCTTCCAGTGGCCTGGCAGGCAGACAACAGTGCAAGGTACCGGCCGCGGCAGCTTCTGTTCATTTTTTAAGTCTTTGAGTAAAAAGCAGCACTGACCTGGAAGCAGAAAACAAAGAGTCATTATGTTGTAAAGTCTGCGGGTGCAATCCAAAGCAATAACAAATTGAGAACGCGCAAGAGAAAAAATTAACCTGAACCTGACCTACACAACAACAGGCTTTCTTTAGTTTCTATCCAAACTGATCGAATCATGCAGGAAGCACCTTCATTTTCTCATTGATCAAATCGTTTTTGAAGCCTGAGTCGGGTCTTAAAGACATGCTGAAAATAATTGAGCCCAAATAGTATTTGTATCTACTTGTGAAGCTATACTTTATTAGTAAGTTGCAGCAGTGTTAAAGACTTGAAGAACAGCAGCTGTTTGTTTTGTAGCAAAGATTTGAAGTCGAAACCAAAGGTTCAACGCTAAATATGTCCAGTGGTCAAAGGTGTTTTAGACATTTCTTTCTTATTAGAACCACGTGTCTCATTTTTGCTGGAGAACACAACAAACACAAACTGCCTTGCATAGTTACACAATGGACCTTGATGCGTGAGTGCCTTGTCAAAATCAACAACCTCGTCAAGTTGCCACAAGCGGATAAAATTAATTAGCAAATTGCAGTGAGATGAAAGGATCTTTACAGAACTATGATTGCTGAGTAATGATCCTTTACTATCCAGCTTTCCAGCAACAGATGGCTCAAGAGCATTTTCAATTAATTTAATAATACAGCGTGAAAGAAATGACTGAATAGTTTTAAAAGTCAAAAACCACAACAACAGAGAGCAGTGTCAGGTTATCGTCTCTGGCTTGAGAAGTGTAAGTGAGAAGTAACAGTGATTCAATTCAGTCTCTTACCTGGCTGCCACTACTCATCCTTTTTGAATTTGCCGTTGATGATGGGAACATAATCCAAAAACAACCTCCAGTCTGTGAAGTGGACAAGAGCGACACCTCCAGCGGTGCCCCATATAGCCAGAGTGGGGATCCTGTCAAGATTGACCACATTTATCTTATTTACAATGAAACCAAATAAAGTGGTCGTAAACATTGTACAATTTTTGCTTCTGGTGAGATTCTATGATACCGGCACAAATACACACACTAATGTTCTTCAAGGTCAAAGTAAAGAGACAGACTGATGAAAGATTCAGTTGCCTTGTCAACAGGGAAGTTATCGTTCGGACAGTGAATGTCAAACACCCAAACAACAAACATGTGTTTAATATAATCCACAACATTGATCTAAATAATAGTTTGTTTTGTTTATTAGCTAAAAATACGAATGGGATTTCTTGTGATAGCTTCACATATGTAAGGTTGCTGGTTCTTACCGAGTTCACCCCAGCTGCTCTCAGACCAGGGAAACATTTTGAGGCAGAGTTAATTAGTTAATAAGGTTAATTGACTATTTTTTTCGGACTTATCTGGAGCCACAGCATCAACCCTTCGAGGGAGACCAGACAGCTAGCTTCATTTAAAGTGTTCGTGTTGAGTTTTAATTCTGACGTTAACTGGAAGCTAAAGTTAGCTTGCCCCTACAGCTATGACCTCGGCTAAGCTAAAGGCTAACGTTAGACAAGGACACGTTGGGATCGTGACGGTCCCGAGTGTGTTTCTTCACTTCTTTACGAACACGAGGTTCAAATGAAATCTTACCATGACTTGGCGATGGACACGTACTTCTGACCGATGACTTTACTCAACATTTTGTCTGAGATGTTTCCTCCTGGCGCCTGACGCGCGGCTACACGAGCTCGAAGGAAGTAACGAGTTTGGTTTGATGACGTACTGCGCATGTGCACAGTGCACTTCCTGCTGTTAAGAAAAAATAAAAGACCCATTGTCACAATAAAAGCTGGAGAACACCGAATGGTAGCCCATATAATTATTACACTGGTGTCAGTAAGGGGTGGAGTCCTGAGTCAAAATAACTTGTTTACATTTTGTGCATACACGGAACATTAGCTATTGAAATAAGTGTTAAAGGGACAGTTCACCTAAAAATAAAAATCCACTCATTATCTACTCACCATTATGCTGATGGAGGGGTGAGTTAATGTTTGAGTCCACCAAACACTTTAGTTTCAGGGGTAAACAGTGTTGCAGCCGAATCCGATCTAATACAATTGAAGTAAATAATGACCATACTGCTCTTTCTGTGTGAGTTCAAACGAGAACTGCAATGAGGACGATAACAGTGGATATTTAGACTAAAAACATGGTGTAAATGACGCAGTTTCGAGTTGAATTTGAAGGTCAGGGTTGACGCACACTTGGATGACACCACAGGAGCAGTATGGAGGCATTTTATGGTTTTTTTACCCATAGTTCTGAGTAGATAATGAATGAATCTTCATTTTTTGGTGAACTATCCCTTTAACTAAAATCAACATGTATTAACTACCCACAGCAAAACTAAAACTAGTAAGTACTTCAGCATTGTACAAAATATAATGAATCTGCAATGTGCATTAGAATGTGCAGGGCTTTATACAGTGCTGCTCATGCCTGCCCCCTAGTGGACAATTTAGTTCTGAGAGTCTTTATTGGATAAACTCAAATAAAATATTAGACCGATCAACAAAATCCTGGTTCGCTTGCATTACCGGAAAAGGAAAATCAATCAAGTGTTATTTGATTTATTGAAAAAGTCACTGGAAAAAATGCGCTTTGTTATGAAAAATGGCACATTTATTGCTACATTAGACACAACAGTCCTCGGTATCTACTTTATATATAAAAAAATAGGAAACTGGAGGCACTTTGAGGACATAGCCTACATAGATGTTGTCCCCAAACATGAGTGAAGACAGAGATATGTTGCAGGTCACCCACTGTGCAGGACAGAAAAGGGTTTGTCAACAAAGAATATCAGGTGTGTATCTTGAAACTTGGATACTGTAGACAAACATATCTGTCATGTTAAGAAAAAAATGCACAGGTCTTCAGTAGCGATTTTCCATATCACAACAACACCACATTTTTCCTGCAGAATGGTTAGGGTAACTGATAAAGAAAATAAAGTTTGGGCTAGTCCATGGGGCAAGATTTGTAAAGAACTGACAGGTAGAGGTAAAACAAATACTGTCACATATCAGTATCGGCTTACAATGATTAAGCAGATAAGGACACATCATACAGCTGTACATACATATCAATGCACATGCCAGTCAAGACCAAAATTATATTTAACAGAACTAGTACATAATACATGAGAAGATTTAAGTTTTTCAGTGTCAAGTCGAAGACCAGGTTATTACTCAACTTACATCTAATGACAGACACTGAAGCAGTGAGTATCGATGAGTGTAATTCTTCATTTAGATGTTCAGAGACACTGTCAGATGTAACTGAAGTATATATGTTTTTATACATCTGTATTATAGAAAAGGTACAACTTATAAATCCTTAAATGCAACATTATCCACCATGTAGCAGAGAAGTATTCAGGCACTGGTGAGTAACCATTATCAAAACTCCCAAAGTCAGGGAAATGACTAAGGCCACCCTTTTTGATTCATTTTATGCTTCCTTTCATAATGAAACACTGAATTATGTTGCAGATTGACCAACCCCTTCTGCCCCTTCCTCAAACCAAGCAACAAGCTCATCACAGAGCTGCACGTCAGGGAGAAGAGAGGGGTGTATGCAGGAGAAAGAAATTGTTGTTTCATTCAAAGAAAAACTGTTGCAAACACCAGAACAATTCACTTACAACTGGCCTGACGGGTCTGTGTTCAAATGCATTTTCTTTCTTAAAAAAAAAGAGCAATATCACAACATGTGATGGTACAGCCAGATCATTTTGTCATTTCTAACATTTCTAAGCACCTGGCACAAAAATAAAACACCTCACTTTGTTCCTGGAATCTAAACTGAGAGTCATCTTACATTTAATCAATGTAAACAAAAAAAGAAAGAACATTCCAAATGATAAAAACAAAACTCATACATCTATATTACAAAGTAAAAAAGAAAACAAAGGAGAAAAGAAACGTTGAATCAGTTCTACAATAGGAAGATCCTTACAACATGCTTTGCAATTGTTCGAAAGGGAGAGAAATAAACAAATCCCTAAATGCTCAACAAGGAGCAACAACCAGAACAAGTCAGTCAATGGGAAAGGTAGCAGTAACACTCATGACCCCTTCAATACGCAGTTATTTCTGTGTGAAACTGCTCTGAGACTTACAAGTTCAACACGTCGTAACAGTGTTTACATATGATCTGTTGTGGGCAGGCTGATGTGAGTCAGAGGCATTATGATGACCACATGGCTGAGACTGAGTGACGGTTTAAGATTTGAAGAGACTTGTGTGCTCGAATCCAACAGCAGCCTCACAGAGGGAAGGTTGGGATGTCCACATGTTATTGAACATGCGTGTGGATTCATTTTGTGTTTGTGCCAGTGGTGGGTCTATCTTCAGAAATCTTTCCATTCCACTTACATGGCAGTGACAATAAAGCACATGTACAGGACATAAAGAGACAAGAAGCAGGGATCCATGGTTTAAAAGAAAGATTTCCCACCACGTGTGTAGGTCACTGACTGTGGCACGTTTTAGCAAAGCAACAAATAAAAAAAATACAGCCAGGATTACCAGCATATCAAAAAGGGGAGTCAGCTCTATGATTGGCCAGTCAGTGACTCGATCCTCCCCCTGTGTCTCCAAACCTGCCTCAGTTATTCAGTCATTATATTAGAGGATAGCCATGGTGACTGATTTTTTATCTTCAACAAACACTATGCATCAGGCCTGTGCTTAAACAGGTATTTGTTCAGACACAACATAAACTCAGATGTCCGTCTTTACTTCTATAGAATGTAAGACCTTCTTTTCAGATGGGAATGCCAATGTTTATCCAACGATGAAAATCCTAACTCTGCTCACATGAGCAGTTGATCCAAAAGTTTTATTTGATCCAAACAAGTTTTGCTCCCAACATGTAATGCATTTTTTTTTCAAAATGTTTTACAAAACATCACAAGAAAGTCCTGTATCATGTCCAATTTCCAGTCTCCAAACCAGAGTCCTTGGTTCAAAGTATTGTCATGTAAAGAGTACAATGTCTTTTGTCTCTTTCTGGATGGGTGTGCTTCTTCATCAGGGATGTGGCCACCTGCTTTGTCAGTATTTGTGGTGTGTGTGTGTGTGTGTGTGTGTGTGTGTGTGTGTGTGTGTGTGTGTGTGTGTGTGTGTGTGTRTGTGTGTGTGTGTGTGTGTCACACACTTTCCAAAAGTTGCTTAACATACCGAGATGCATGACAATGATGGATTAAGGCCACGTGTTCTAAGGGCTGTATAATCAACAGGAACTGGAACAAAAGGAGAAAGAAATTAATAACCACTCTCACAAAAAACACTTAAAATAGCAAGAAAAATATATATTGTTCATTTTAGTATCTCACAAATGTGACAAATCCCATTGTAGAGATTCTAAAGACTGACCTGAGAATTACATATGGCTAACAGGGTTGTGTCCATCTCCACCTAAACCAGGGTGACCCCCACCGAGCTGCATCTGGGGGTCCACACCTGACACTTTCTCCTCCTCTCTCCTCTTGAGGCAGGCAGCCTTTGGATTCAGATTGCGTTCTTTTTGATAAAAAAAAAAGGACATATATTGATTAAAATCACAAGTGATGAAACTTGAACTAATCTCTTAGTGCTGAAATGAAAGCGGAGCATCGGATATACAGAAGTGCCAAAGTAGACAGAGGGAAAGATAATGGGTAAAAAGCAGGACAGGAAAATGAAAAGTAGGATGAGAAATACAGGGTTTTGGCAGCAGGGATATAATTCCTCCAAACGTCTCCCTTTCTACTCATTTTTCAATGTGATAAAGGAAAATAGCGAGAAGAAACACTAAGTTTGTGTTACTCAGTCAGGTGAGAGACTAGCACCTTCCATCCAGTAATGATGAGAGGCGGTTGTCCAGGTGGACAGGACTGTCCTGTGTTCACCGACCTGTGTTCACCGACCTACCTCGCACCTGCTTCTCAAGGCCCAGGATGACCTGGACAGCCTGCTGCAGGATGATGAGCTTTGTCTGGGCCTTGTCGCTCTGCAGGTGGACCTGACACATCCTGCCCAGCTCTCTGAAGGCTTCGTTAATGTCACGAACACGCACCCTCTCCCTAGCGTTGTTGGCTTGGCGGCGCTCTCGCTCCCTCTGCTCCTTCTCCTCGGCAGTGAGGTTTTCATCAGTCACAGAGACAATGCTGCAGCTGGTAGGAGAACGGAGGAGGGGGGTTGGAGGGGCTGGTTAACAAACCCAAATCACAACCCTTGCTGAACCTTGGCTAACACTGAAGCTATACTGGTTTAAACCTTAAGTATAATACAGTGTATTAGTGTTTTTCCTCGTCAGAATTGTTATTTTTATCTTTTTATGTTTGAGCAAGGATGAGGCTGACTTTAAGCTCTTGGTCTAGACGAGACAAGATGAATGAGATTGCTGAGGAAAATCCCAGTGGAGTGTTGCAGAAGACGGAATAAACGCATGAAAATTGAATAAACAGATCTACATTATGTAGATAATAAATGTTAATCCTTTATATGAGCGAGTTCAACAATAATTGATGTCAAGCCAAGAACAAATAAACTGCTGATCAAGATACAACAGTTGACTAGAGCGCCCGGGTCTAATGAATCTTTCCTCTTTTACACGGAATTTATTTTTCAGTTCCGTCGTTGGGGTCCAGGATGGAAGTGGAGGGGATGTGGTGACTGTCCAGCAAAATGAAGATATGAGAGAAAGGGAGAGCGAGGAAGCAACACCCTCTGCCAAGTACAGTACATAGAAAGAAACACAGATATAAAGCCGAGGGGAGAGACTGAAGGCACCATGTTAAATACATCAGCAGTAAGAGATGCATTTATCTGAATGTGAGGAGAAGAGAATCACTGTTGCCATCTGTAAAAGGAAAATGACAGGGGGAAAGGGGAGTAAATGAATAAATATAAAGGTTTGTTGAAGCACAGACACGGCAACATAGCTGAAGATGGGTTGATACACATAACGACAGACAACCCTGCTTTCATGCACTAACACTGGCTATGGGTCAAAGGTTAGAAAAAAAAATCTGAAATGAAAATGACTTAATCGTTTAAAGCATAATGAGGCAGCAGTATATTCAGAAAATAAATAAATGAATAGATGTTAATCCAGTCAAAGGGAGCAGCAGACAGATGTGTAAACATTTGGAGACAGACAGGCAGCTGTGAGACAGGCCAACACATCAGAACAAACAGCCGTCCTGTGTGTGTAACCAGAGGACAAAAACCTCAGAAGATGAGCTGGAGAATGGGCATGTCTTAAAAACAGTCACGCAGCTTCATTTCTTTATCTCTCCATGGCACCGTTTGATCACTTTAAGGATCAAGTGGAAAAAGTGTAATACTTAAATTCTCTACATCTGAGAAAGCAGTATTTATTTACCACCATGTGTAAAGTAAAATTAACTGACAAAATTAATTCAAAAAGATTTTAAATGCCAACATAACATGTCATGAGCTAAGAAGTGAAGCTGTGTGGAAGTTTTAGTTTTTTAAAGAGATGCTTCCCCTCCTCCTCCTTCCTCCCTGGACACCCACTGACCTCGAACTTGCTGCTCCAGGTTGACTATAACGTTAACGGCCTGTTGCAGTACGATCAATTTGGTCTGCTGTTTCTCATAGCTCAGGTGGAGCTGACACATGCGGCCCAGCTCCTTAAAAGCCTCGTTGATGTCCCGCACGCGTAGCCGCTCGCGGGTGTTGTTTGCCATCCTCCGCACTTTCTCCCGCTCAACCTTAATCTCCACTGGCAGATCTTCGTCATCATCCTCATCATCATCATCATCCAGACTAGTGAAGAACCAATGGAAGATGAGAAGGGAAGCAAGCAACAGTTGGGAACAATTCACTGACAATTACTTCCAAAATTCGTTGAGCAATAAAATTTGCTACAAATGTCATCATATGGTGGATCGCATTACAGTTTAGTTTTAGAAATATGGCTCTTCTTGACCAAACAAGAAGAATATGAACAACAATGAAGCGCAGCAGTTAAGCTGAAACTGCCAGAAAAAAAAGATGTTTATGGATAAAATAATGTAATTTCCAGCTGCAGCACTGTTTGCAATTGTCATTTTATTACTGTCAAACTTAGGTCCCATTTCATGAGGGTTGATCATAATAAAAAATGTCATAATCCGTGATCATCGGCCCTGTAATTGTTTTTCATCTGTAGTTTAACTTAAAGGATTGGAGCATTTTGTTTTCACTTGTAAGAGTAAAAGACGACTCCAATCGGACCACTAAATACTGGGTGAGAAGAACATGGAGGAAATATGTAAGTATTTAAGGTAGAACGTGGAACAATAGGAATTTAAATGGTTCTGTATAAATCTTTAAAATCTAAATAAAACTACTCAAATGGAATTAGTGTAAACTTGAAATTACATCTAATGTTACAGTTGTTGTGACTATTTTAATGAAACTTTATTTTACAAGGACTGTTAAAGGTTAATATGACTGACATGACTGTTTGAAGTCTTGCTCATCTCCATGTGATGATGAGGTGAAAAATATTACAAGAATATATTTATAACGATCAGCCTCTATCAACATGCAAAAAAACAAGTACATAGACTAGTATCCTTAGGTCTAATGTTGAAATACAAGAGCAATGAATTAAGTAGAAAGCAAGACATGTTGAAATGTTTAAAGTGTGTTCTCATAAAAAATATACTAAACTACTGCAGCATCAAACAGTATGTCATATGTCATGCATTGATCAATGAGTGTATGTGTTCCTGAAAATAAATGTAGGTTTCTTGACACCTTGTTTGAAGTCGGGCCTTCATGTCTTTTTTCTCGTCCTCTGACTTGTCAGTATTGGAGCAGTTGTCATCATCCTCCTTGCCTTCTTTTTTGATATCTGAAGCACTGGAACGATGTACGCTGCTGCTCAGACCTGCACACAGAATTAACACACAATGGTACAGAGCACCCGTATCAGTTAGGCCCATGCATGTATATCTACCAGTTCAATAAAAGGAACTGGGGTAATATGCTCACAGTCTGACATGAAACTAATCAGAGAAGAAAGAACAACAGAAAGTCTCACCAGTAAAACCCTCAGGCTGAGAGCCTGGAACAGATGTGGAGCCATGGTGACCATGCAGAAGTCCTCCACTAGAGGGCAGACCAACAGAGTCCTCGTGGTGACCAGACACCTTAAAGGGAACAACACAAATATTTTTATGTTGAAGTTTGTAAAATTGGTAAAAGAATAACATTGTAATGATAACCCTCTGACTTTGTGCCCACCGTAACAATTTAACTTTAATCAGTCATTGGTGAATACATTTCTTTTGCTACTGTTCACTTTTCTCACCAGTCCAGGAAGGCGACTGGCCAATCCAAGTGCTGCAGTGTTGAAGCCAGGAGGAAGCCCTAAACCAGACGCCAGCAGACTGTGCATTTCGGCCAATCCTGGAACTCCTTGGCTGTTGGTATGGCGCTGAAGAACATTGATGACTTCTTCCAGACGGTCCTCCATTTTGCTCTGCTACAGAGGGTGAAAACAATGAACAAAGAGAATGCAGAACAGGATGCACAATTCTAGCATTGTTTGTATATCTGTAACATACTTGAACAATATTTTGTTCCATCTTTCAGACAAGAATGAAAAATTGAGGAACATTGACTCACCATGGACTGAATACCACTGTCAAAGTTAGGTGAAGGTGTGGCCTGGCCAGAGGAACGATTCCACTGAGACGCAGAGCCTGGAGAAAATGTAGGGGATCACATGGTTCATTCAGACATTTGAGCACTCAAGAGTATCAGCTGAGTGTATATTATATAAACTTACATATTATATAAGCATTTTAATACAGAACTGATACTCACTGCACTCAGCTGTTGATTTTTGTTGACCCGCTTATCCAAATGGATATAACATTTTTGCTTGAGGCTTGGAAATGATTGGTTTTTCATTTGTAACTCACAAACACTCCAGTCTCTGCGCTGTGCTGCACTGGTATATTTTCGTAAAGGCCCTTGTTATGACAAATTGTATCTTTGCCTTTACCTTATTGCCACTACTGCATTTTACCATTTGATTTCATTGTTGCACTGTCCTTCATCTATAAGCCATGTGGCAAACCTGTTTTAGCTCGCCTGGGAAACTGTAGAAAACAGATCAGAGAATCTGTTCACTCCCTGTGAGACTGGAACAAAACTGTCTCTGTAGTTATCAGAAAACAGATAAATGTATGTTATAATAATGAATTCCCCCTTAATGTATGAAGTCTGATGAGCCAATTGAGAGACAAATAGGGAAGCAACCCCACCCTCTTTTTATTTTCTCTTCCTCTCTCATAGGTTATATTTGGGTGGTGTGGGTGGTGTGTGTGTGTGTGTGTGTGTGTGTGTGTGTTTGAAAGATTGTGCTGTGGATGTGTGTACTCATAGTTACACTTTCAGTATGGACCGAGAAAAATACCATTGTCTGTTTAATTTTCATAATTGCCCCAGAACATAAAAAAATAAGAAATTCAATAAAAACATGGATATAATACCAGCATATGTGCCCTTTAAATCTTTATCGCTGAGACATTTCTCACAACTACTTTACTTCTATATCAGATGACCTAAATGTCCAGATAGTCTCGCCTGCCAAACTTATCTCAGTTCTATGTTTGTTCAGTGCCAGCGCATAAAAAAGGGTCTGTGAACTCACTGACACCAGTGAGAAAACAATCTGGGTTATTTAATTTGTAATTTGCAACAGAGAAATTAAAGGTCTGTCATAAATAAAGAATCTTAACATGTTTTCTTCCACATTGAACCCAATAGATGGAGCTACATTGTCACTATGAGCCATTCACAGTCAGAATGAAAACAATGCATTCATCAAAGAATGGAAAGTGTGTGGAAAAAAAAGCAGTCTCTAAGAGCCAGCTGACTTTTAAACCTCAGGTAACAATGACTCACCTGAAACACCCTGAGGTGAGCAAGAGGGAGTAGATGGGGATGGAGGGAAGCCGTTACTGTTCGGGTCTGAAGGATAGATCTGGACACAGAAGTTTCAGTTTTTAATCAAATAAACACAATGTGCTAATCTATATTCTTTATGCTAGATATTTTAAGTTTTGTGTTTAAGAATTTTGCCTACAAATATGCGTTTTTATCATTACTTACTGATGCCAGGGCCTTTCCGATCTCATCACCTGAACTGCCAGGTGCTGGTCCCCGATTGGCTTGATGGAGAAGGAGCACATAGCATTTTGCTCAAATTGCTCAATAACAACTCAACTATGTCACAGAATTACATGAAAACTTTAGGAATACACAAAGAAAGGAGCACAAACTTAAGGGTTTACCCATAATAGTGTCACTTCCAACAATAGGGGGTGTGTGGTTGGAAACACCAAAGCTGCTGGAACCAGAGTGGAAGCCAGCGGGATGAGCCCCATTCACCTCGCTGCCATGCAGGGGGTAGTTTTGTGGAGAGAGGGGCAGTGGTTGACGTTTCTAGTAAGCAAAAACAGCAGATAAAATTAAATCCACAGACAGAGGCACTCAATGAGACATTTGTCAAAAAGTTTCAAAACCTCTACATAGAAAAACAAGTCCAGAGTGTGAGGGCAGAGCTCACCAGTCTGTCTTGGGGGTTAATGGCTGTGAAGGGTCCATGCTGGCTCATATGGGGGGTGTTGCCCAGCATGGAAGAAAAACCAGGCTGAACCATCGACCCGGCAGAGCCCCATGGATCGGAGGGTGGGTGGAGGCCTTCTGTCAGGGGGCATCAAGTGAAGGAGTGGGGAGTAAGAAGGGCGAGGGATAACCAGCCAGAGCAGATGAAAAGACAATGAAGGCCACAGATGAGACATGTCACATTGATGTGATAACTTAATTTAACTAGGATGCATCATTTACAACTCTGGCTCCAACACCTACATGTAGATTTCCAGAAGGATATTATACAACAATTAAAACTATATTAACACAAAGAGGAAACATTAATCCACTATTAATCTATCTAGGTGTACAGTGTTTTATCCATACTTAACAGAACTGTCTCCCAACACAACACAATTAAAGGGAGGTTCTGAGGTCAAATAATGTTCAACTGACCTTGCATGTAGAAAGGTGGTGGGTACACGTTTCCTGCCTTGGAGGATGTGTAACCAGCATTGTCCCTGTTAAAATCCTCTCCTGAGGCTGATGCATAAACCTACAGAAAATACACAGAAACAGAGAAACAACCTATCAGCCCCTGCTTTAAAATCTAAAAATTATACATGACCATAAACAAGATGAACTGTGTATCAAACTATAAAACCAAGTATTGCATTTTATGTAGGGAGCATCCTTGTGCTTTTCTAGGTGAGGAGAAATTATTATAAATAATGAATTATTTATCCTTAGAAAAAAGTATCAAGACCCTTTTGAGTTAAGACTTCAAAAAAAAAAGTATGTTTATGCATGAAATACCTATGAGTTCCCTCTTAGGAATCTTTTGTTACTATCTAGTTTTACTACTTAACTCAATAAACAGACTGCAGCAGCATTTCTGCAGACTGGAGCACTGAGCTTTAACTATTGAATGTGCAGTGTCAGTGATATTATTGGGTCCTGTCTACCTGTCTTTTATACACTATCCTGTTAAATAAAAACATACGAAGAATAGTCTACGGATACATAATTCACTCTTTTCAACACGGTGAGATGTGACCCTATAATGGGCTGGATTCAGTCGACTTTAGAATGAGTATAAAGGCACCAATGTTCTGAACAACTGCATCCTTTTCAATCGAGACTATTTTAGACCAAAATCAAGTATCAAAATGTGTCTGAAAAACTTATATCCAAATGGACTCAAGTTGTCTCCTGTAATTTGATTAAATGGAGAGAAAAGGAGAGGAAAAAAGAGGGGAGAGGAGAGGAGGGAACGGAGAGATGCACTCCTAATTACTGAACCATCTGTCGAGTCCTGGACGGAAGCCAACTCTACTGGCAGCTGGGAAAGAGGGATGGGGGAGGGAGAGAAAAAAGGGGAGGGCTGTTGTTCGTGGTGTTGGTGGTGAGGGGGGAGGATATAGGGTGCCCAGAGAGCGAGAGTGAGAGAGAAAAAATGAGGTGGAGTAAGAACCATCAAACCCCAGTATAAATTCCCTCCAGTGATCTGACGAGTGCACTTGGCTGAGGAGAAGGGACGTGGCCATAAAGTAAAGGGCCTACAAATACAACACACTATAAATACATACTGCAGATGAGTGACTGGCGAAACAAGTGGCTTTCCCCCCCATTTTTTTCCTTCCGCACTGGTGAAGATACACAGCTGTAAGGCTGGACGACCTGTATTGCAGCTATTCTACAGCTACGCAAGCCAAGAGGAGGTTTAAGATGGGATGTGAAAATGAACAGAAACATGGAAACATGGGCTCCCACTGACAGGGTTGCAGCCTTTCTGGAGGTTAGTACTCACTGAGGAGGGCAGGCCAGGGGGCACCTTCCTGATCTTTTTTGGCTGTGATTCTGAGGGTAGAGAGAGAAATCACATAAACATACACAAACGTCAAAAATTATTGCAGGAGTGAATTATACAACAACCAATAAAGCGAGTCACAGTGTTTATTAAAGGTATCTACCTTGGTGCTGAAGTAATTTATGACCCTAACCCTCATTAATGTCTAATAAGCAGCTATTCTATTTCCTCAGTGAGAACAGATTTCACTTTCTCTTACTAAGAAGAAGTGAGAATTCTCAGACACTTTTTAAAACCTCATGAGGAGAAGTGATGATATACATCAACTTCATTTTAAATTAAGGAAATAAAAGTTTTTCTGATATTAAATCTATGACAAGATTATGCAAAGACTGCTGAACGGATTTCACATAACTTGGTGGAAGGATGAAACATGGGACAAGAAGAAACCCCATTAAATTTTGATTGGGCAAAATTTGGGTAGATCCAGGAATTTTTTATCACTTTCTACAACATTGCATGATTTTTTTGGCATTTCCACATATTCTACTTCTGTGTTCAACACTTGAGACAGTCCTTTAGAGTCTTACCAATGGGGTCCTGTGAGGGTCTCCTGCGAGGGTTGCTCCCCTCATAGGAGGAATAAAACTGGGAGTTAGACTTCAGGCCAGACGGGGAGAGCGGATCAGGACTGGGCATTGGTAACCCATTGGGCATAAAGCCAGGCTAAAGACAGTGTAAAAGAAAACCAAAGCTGTTGCAGTGTAACAGGACAGGTATGAAAACTATACAGATACTCATACTGCCATTCTGACTAATGTACCTGTGCTGTGAATGACGAGTACGGCCCTCGATCAGCCTTCCCTGTTTGGAGAAAGGAATATAAAAATCAGGTCATGAACGTGAGAAGTAGGCCTTTATGTCAATATTAAATCACAATCTGGCAATTCCCTTTTCCTCTTTTTCAGTGCCTCCCATCTGCTGTGCAAGTATACATGATGATGTGTGGTATTTATGACTGTGAATTGCAAAACAACAACAAATTGGACCATTATAAATGGTTCAGGGGCAATTGTGCCCAACCTCTGTCCCCTCCCCTGACAGTTAAACAGAGGAGAACTATAGCCACAGTCCCGGGGGAGAGCCTTGTTTGTGCATGGGTGCCCTTTACACCCCCCCTGCCCACACTGAACACACAAACTGGAACACACAAACAAACCCCTCCTCCACATCCTCCCTGATTACCCTGTTCCCTTCATCCATTGCCACCAAACCATAAAAACGGTTTGCTATGAAGTGGTACATTATCGTCTAACCTGTGAAAGGCAGTTCTCTTGAACAAACAACTCATTGTTTTAGCTCAGTCACACTGTCCATTGAAATAAATGTGTGTATTTCAATGAAAATGTTCTTCAGTTGTCAAGTAATTTTATAAGAAACACAGAGACGTGAAGTTGTGGTTTCTGTGCTTCAACCACATAGTTCAATTTAAACCTTCTTACCAACAATCCCCGGTCCAAATATGGGGGCAGAGGCCATACCCTGCTGTTCATTGTAAAGACCTTCTTCTCCATAACCCTGAGGGAGAGACAGCAGAGTCTTTAGGGATATTAATACAGATAAATTAAATTAAATAAAGCAAATTAAATTATGTAATGAAGCAAACTGTTGTGTATTCATGAAAATTGGTCAGTAAACATTGTCCAGTTTTGATGTGAGCGTTAAAGCAGGTCTGGAACTGCACTGATCTGAAAAAGTGAGTATAGGATTCTTAAGCAGATACAGGGTTAGTGTAGTATTAATACTTGATTACCATATAACATAAACAAAAAAAAATTGCTTTGGGGTTTAGTTAGATACTACAACCGAACAAGTGTGTGTGGGAATTAAGTGACAAGTGTGGACAGGCTGGCATCTCTATCATATTCTTTGGATTTTCAAGTGGCATATTGCCATTACATCATTTTTTAAATTTTGGATCTGACAAGAGTTTCTTTCAAATACATTACATCTGTGAGGGCACACTTAATCTTTTCAGGTTTCAGGCAGAAATCAGGTTTAGTGTTGCCTCATCCGTACTTGGGTTGAGCTCAGAAGATCTGGTACTTTAAGCTGTCTATTGATGTAAACCTGTCATTTGATGGTAAACTTAACTTGGGCAATTCCAATAACTGAAAACCTGTTTGATAAAGAATTAGAAATAATCTAGACCAGAAAATTGAGAAATTGAGGTTTCTCATATACAAATGGCAATGAGAAACTAATTATTGTGGCAGAGATGGCTCATAACTCCCTCTGCAAAGTGTAAGATGACATAATTGTATCGTTCACTGTGAATATGTTTATGCTGTTGTTTATAGATCATATGTAAAATGTTCCCATAGTGTGCACAAACTGGTGCTATATCAAAGGTCAAATGCAGGTTGCATTTAAAATATGTTAGACAAAGTGTCAGTGGAGTAAATGACGATGTATCGTACCCGTCCCTGGTTGAAAGACGGACCGTTCTGTTGTCCTGGTCCCCAGTGACTGGACCCACTCCTCTCATCTATACCTGGAAGACAGAGATTAGGCCCATTAACCTCAGACACATTCCTCAAAGGCGTTCAAGCTTTGCTTTGGAAAACTAAGTTCCACTTCATAGAATGATGACCTGCTTTGATACAGGTTTATCAGGTTGCTCAGAGTAACCTCCACTGAAGAGCCTGACTTCACAGCTCACACAGAGACAGCACAGTGACAGTCACATAACATGGATATGAGCTGTGGGAAGTTTGAATAATTAACACCCAGTATGAAGCTTCCAGAATCATCCTCGACATTCTTCATTCTCCCACTCCACTCCTTCACATTTTCCATGGCAACAGTCATTCATCAGCCATCTATCTCCTCACATTTGGCCAACACCTTCATCTTAACGCAGACGCTAAGTCTCAATCTTACATGGCTGACACACAAGTTGTCCCTGGCCAGAGCCGTGCAGCTTCCACAGAGGCCAGCGTGTTTAAAATGAGTGATTTTAAGAGACTGGTGAAGCAGAAATTTCTGCCCGTCCCCTTCCTCTCCATCTTCTCTCATACTGCTACACACCATCTCTAGGGGAAAGCTGAAGCTTAATTGCGTACTGATTTGCATAATTGTGCATATTAATGAAGCTTGGCTCTATGAATATTCATATTTTTGTTTTGTTGTCTAATTAAAAAGCGGAGAGGGGAGGGGGAGGGGGTAGAGGCGGGATCGAATCATGACAGGATCAGCAGTAGAACAGAGTGATGGGTCCACAACACTGAGAGCTGCTAGATTGCCGTGACAACTGTGATCTATACGCACGACACCAGCAGAATAAGAGATGAAGGAGGCAATGTCTTGTCCCCTGTCTATGGCTGACTGTCACTCTCCCTGTCAATCAAATACAATAAAGAAAACACATGAACAATTTGTTTCTGCTGGAAGTCATGAGTATCTGAGTTTCAGACAAGAAAAAGCTCCAAATCAATGTTGGATTTAACATTTAAACCACTCAGAATAAGTTTATTGTATACTATATATTCCTGGAGTCTAATTGACATTATTTATGTATTTATATTTTTAATATAAAGCAGCCAGCTAACATCAGTATCACTAAACAAATGTATGTTTACAAACAGTAAGACTAATTTCTTACACACCTAGGTTAATACCATGTATCCATGCAGCCTATCAGATCTATCCAGCTAATTGACAAGACATCAAAACATCTTTGCTTGTAAGGCAAGAAGATTGAACTGTCACCATCCATTCCACAAATAGCAGGATAAGTGCAGCAATAGCTGTTCTCTAACCAGGTGAGAGGGAACATGTGTAAGGCACGAATCTGGATGTGAGGAAGATAATCTGAGAATTCATGAAAATTCACACCTGGAGCAATAGTGTTGTGAGATAAATGTTAATGGTACATGGAAGAGTAGACACAAGAAATAAAAGGTGTTAAAGAATTTTAAATAAATGTAAATTAACTCACTTCATGAGCTGATCTGATGACAAGTATAGGAACAGAACTTGAGGGATATTTCAGAAGATTTTCAAAATTGCTGCAAATAATACTGACTATGTAACTTAGGTAATCACTAAAAGAAAACAGTGAGTTTGGGGAGATGGTCTCAGTTTTGTAGTTTATACTAAAGTATGTCTAATCATTTGCCTGTGATATCACTTGGATATATTACGTATAATCCTTTACAAACGCTATAATATTATATTGCAGGTTTATATGCCATCAAAGTGCTGCCTGCAACTTTTGATGGCTTAGAACAGGTTAAATCTAGAACCAAGAGTAATTTCAGTTGAACACTGAGACGCTAAATCGAAACTAGTAACAAAGTATAAAGTGCATATAATATGTGAAAACGTAATTTACTTCTTGTGGTCCTCAGAGTAATGTGGATGCCAGGTGTAAACGTTGCAAAAGTGATGTTTTAAAGAATATTAGTGTGTCTGTGACCTGCAAACATCTTTGTTATGACTGTGAGATCTTTGTTGGGTCCTTTCAGGTGCATGTGCTTGTTAACTTTAAGTCTAAAGCATATGGTTTTTGTCAAAACTCAGAGTGTATATAGTTATGTCATCATCCTTGATACCTTATTTTTATTGTGAGTATAAATTGTTATTTTTTC